AGGAACAGAGTGGTGGTCACCAGTATTACAATGAGTTCACATTCCGGTTTCTAGTTGGACACCTGGGGCCAGTCAGGTCATCAGTGTTTGATCATCAAATATTTGCACCTTTCAGCAGGGAGCTTCTGGAGTTGTCTGCAGAGATAGGACATGGCTAAGATGTCATTTCCCGCTGTTGGTATCCAACAGAAGGGCGTCTATCATAGAGATACTGAACACAAACCCAGAAAAGGGAAGAAAATAGGAAGTACTGAAATGTGCATAACTAACCACAATTTTTGGCATTTCACTAATAGGTAACAAGTTTAAGAGCCTGGGTCCCTCATAGTCAGTCATTACATTCTCTAAATCAGTTATGACTGAAACAACACATATAAACTCTGGTAAAACTGTTACTTAATTATCTAGAACTTTATTTTACTGTTAGTGAAGTCTCTGTTCTTACTGTTGTCAGTTTTTAAGAGCAAAGCTTGTGAGGCAGAGAGAGTAGCAAAGCAAATAGCAGGATTAAAAGGTAAGTCCTAAACTTCCACAGAAGTGCTTAGTGTGAGATAATAGTGTGTTGAAGCTTGATCTAGGAAGAAAGGAAAATTTCACTTTAAATCAGCGCATCATGAACACCTCTGATAGATGGAGAGAGCCACCATGAGAGGCTAGCCATAAGGTGTAGACTCTAGACCTGTTTTTTATCTGAACCTGGCAAAGTCAATATGTTCATAACTCTGGTATATGAAACTGCAGCTCACTGAGCTGTTAGTCACTTCCTTACACCTTTTTTTCCTTCCATAATTGGTTCCCAATTCTTGATTTGGGAAGACAGTACTATGGAACATTGTTCTGCTAGCAGAATATTTGTTCCTCTGAGGAATTAATGGTACTACTCTCTATAAAAATGTTTCTATTGAACCAACACAGTTGCTCTTTTAACTCAATTACAGAGCAGTCATCCAGGAATAGAAGATGACTTTTAAGCCAGGAGAACTCACGTCCCTTCATAAATGCTACTTTTTTTCCAACTGTGGAGTCATGACCCCTCAAGGATCCAAGTCATTAAAAAGTGCCCCAACTACCGCAGAATCTGTCGTCTGATTAGACTTGCTGCTGCACTCTGTCTTCAGAGGAGCTCTTTCATTCACAAAGATATTAGCAGGGAGTTAAAGTCATCAATTTCTCTCTGCCATCTTTTGCAAGGTGGTTCCTTCTCTTCCAGTTATAAGGTTAAAAAAGGAGAGATTGTTAGTGAAGTCACAGCAAAACAGACATGAAACTTCAAGACTTTCTGCCAAAGTCACTATTTTCCCCTCTGGATTTCCCTTCAAAGGAAGGGCATTGAATTGTTAGAGAAATAGCTGTGTTTCACACACACTTAAAGAAAACAGTCCTAATGTTTTCCTCAAATAAATGCAAAGAAATACCCATGAAAGAGGCTATAATCATTTTGACAACAAAAAGGGTATGGAAACAGCAGTAAACGATGAAAAGGGTCAGTGAGATAGAGTTCTGGAAATGCAAACGCATTTTATAAAAATATGGACAGCATGCTACTTGAACTAAAGTTAAAAGGCATGGCCAGCTATGGTTCAGCTGCTCATACAGCTCTCAGATTCCTCTGAGCTTGAAACGCTCCACATATCACGTTGCTTCCTTCATAGTAAGATCTTCAAAGACGACTCCAGCGAACAATGTTACTGTGCAAGCCCCTCTCACTAGTTTTGCTACCTGTTACTTCTTCACGGAAAATATATGCGAGGTTCTCCTTTCAACATAGTCATTTCCAACCTTGGCAGACTACCACAGAAACACCAACAAGGTCCCTACTCTTAGCTTATCCACACATGCATCTGTACAAATTTAATTTCCCCATAACAGCAGTACCACACGACTGGGAGATAAAACACCCATCTCTCAGTACCCTTCATCTATCTGCTTGTCCCAGATATGCTTTGCTTGGTCTATAGTTTACAATTCAGCAAAGCAGGTTTTGCTAGTTTTTTGCTACATCTAAAGAGGTTAAAACAGAAAGAGAGAGTGGGAGAGGAAGAGGGAGATACTGCAAATCGCTTTACTTCATTAAATAAACAAACACTTAGGAACTCAGGCAAATGTTCCTTAGAGGATACTTTGCTTATGTAAGTAATGATAGGTATGGTAGGCCCCAACGTTCCCGAATCTAATTTTATTCATTGCCTTTACCAGAGTTAGTATAGTAAATCGTTATTTACTATAGTGATCAGTCAGCTTAGGTTCCTGCCTAGGGAAAGGAAATAGGATAGCTTCCCCTATGCCCACAAAAAGTCTGAAGTGATTTGAGACACATTCTAACACTTCAGCATAATTTAGAAAAGCTAAACAGAAAGACAGATATCAAGCTGTTTTTATAGATATTTTTATGACGCTACCATAGTACTGTGTAGAAGTAAAATCTGGCACAAGCAGAGATGTGATTATTATTCTTAATAGCAAAATAGGATTGACACTCTTCTATTGCCATAATGATGAAAAATCAGAATTGCCGTAAGTCAAACCTTGACAAAGTTGTTAATGAAATCAGGAAAATGTTTTTTTTTAACAATCAGTTGGACACCTCTGAAGAGGGAAAGTTGCTCTGTGGGCCGCTACACAAATTAACCAGCGGCCAGCCACGACCCAACAGTGTCACAGGAGTTAACAAATGTTGTCCTAGGATTCCTCAGCTAAGGCATTTCCAAGAAATGTTAGGAAGCAGCAGGTCTACTTTTCAGATATTTTAATACATTCATGTATTGTTAAAAGCTTATTGAGAACTCTTTATGCAATTCTAATCAAGTCAAGAAAAAAATGGATCTGAGATATCAGCTTGTGCAAAAAAAGGAACACTACAATAATAAGGAGTTTTATTTTGGAGAAATCAAATCGTTTCATTAAGACAGATTTAATCCACAATCTGTTTATTCTTTGACATATTTTAAAGGACATGAAATAAAATCAACCCCTGAATAGTCAAAACAGCATCTTATTTTTGCTGTTAAATACAGAAGCCTCATCTCTAGCTCTATTCCTTCTAGCTGGTCACCAGCTGCTGAAAAGCCACAAGAGGAATAGGAAGGAAAGATCAGCTCATCCTGTTTTTGTAAAAAATCTGCTATAGACATTTTTACTTCAGAGTTAGACCTTTTCATAATAAGTGTAAACAGAATCACACTCTCCCTGTATTCTCCAAGCATCTATCCACTAAAAGCAAGTCTCACACTGCTGAGACTGCAATTAAACTTCAACAGTTCTTACCTTCTATTTGACAATTCACACACATACCTTAAAAAAAGAATCATACATCAAATCCAGTGCTAATTATGAGTCACAGCCATAATTTTTTCCCCTTCTCTCCAAGATAAAACTTGTAATATCCATTACAATTGTAAATTATTTACAGCAGAGTTCCTGAATGCAAAAGCTAAGCTTATTGGAAATTCTATTGGTACACAAAATAGCTCTACAATATATTATGCCTTCCTACTTGTATTGGACTTATTACTTCATATTTCAAGTAGAAGTAAATATTCCCCTTGTGGGAAAATACTGCTTATTTGTATAAGACATAATTTTACAAGGTAAATTGTGCTGTTGGGTTGAGTTAGACATGCAATAGACTTCAATAATGTACTATTTCCTTTTGTATATGATACCATCCTAAGAAAAACATGAGCAAAAAAAATTGTGTTTGAAATTTCCTTGTATTGTTTTAAAGCCTATTACTCACATCAACATTTTTCCATGATCAATTTCCATTATCAGTTTCATTCAGAGAAACACTGTGCCAGGAGGCTTTCCAAACAGATTTTATGTTAATATAGTCCTCTGACTAAAAAGCAAAAATCAAAATATAACAAAAGCCTACTGATTCAATAAATTCTGTAAGGTAGTTAACAAAAACACCAGTGATGAAGTATTGTACTCAAAGATCCTTGATTTACATTTTCATTAGAATACATATACTTCCCTCAAAAAAAAAAAAAAAAGACACACCCCCACATGCAAAGACTTCTCAAATCTTGATGTTAACTTAAAATTTCCCAAGAATTTTTATTTTTATTAAAAACTCCACAGACAGGAAGACACATCCAGTCTCCCCCAATCTTTCCCTTCCACTCCTTATTTTCCAACATTTATAGCAAAGAATGTTTGCTTGACTTTCATGTATTTAATGTTTACTTCTTATAAAGACAAACTGCAGGCCAGGAAAATTACACAAATGAGGACCACTGCTGAAGTGATGAACAGTCTGGATTCACAAGAAATTTGCGGAAGGACCAGAAAGTGACTATCCCTATGTATATTATGAGTTGTTCACCTAAAAGGTGTAGGAAGGATACAAGAGAAGCAGATATTCCAGAAAGTAAACACTGGAAATAGATCTGGGACCAATTTCAAGGAACCAAGTGCAGAGTCAAGAAATTGGATGAACTGAGGACCCTCTAAAGCATTATTTTACTGCAGCATAACAACTTTACTGCCAATAATAATTCAATCCTCAAAGGCATAACAGAGTCTATGATGCTGAAACAAACATGGAGTCAGTTCAGACATAGCCCTTCACTTTCACTTCCTTTTTTTTCTAAAAGACTAAAAGACTTTTATTGTTTAAAATAAGATTTCTTGATAACAATATGCTAACAAGAGATTACTATTTTTCATACTGATTCCCTGCAATACTGAATTTTGCCAAGCAGATTTTCATCAAGTTTAGTCTAACCAGAATGAATCTCTTTCACTAGATGCTTATTTGTGCATTTTTCTTTCCAGCTCACAAAGCAGCAAAGAATAGGGAATGCAAACATTACAGAGGGCCTTAACACAGAGACAGGCAAAATTTGTGGTTGTTAGCACATCACTGTGTACTCTTCGTTAATTGATGAATTAACAATATAAAGACAAGAACATAAAGTAGATGCTCCCCTAAGTGTATCCAGGCAAAGTTCACTGCTACAAAAACAGTAGAAGAAAACAGTTTTGACAAAGATTACCAGGAATGATGCAGATAGGGCTGATCCATCTCTTGGTAAGGCATATCAGCATGAAAGAAATACTCGCGTTGAGTCAGAAGAAGAGACCATCTAGCCCAGTGTCCTGTCTCTGTTACTAGCCAGAAGATGATAGCTAGGGAAGTCAAAAAAGAAAAAAGGGAAAGGTTAAATAAACAAAAAAAGGCAAGCACTTATGATACTACTCCTTCACCCTGTAGCAGATACTAGCTACCAACTACTTTCAGCTAAGAGACTGTATGAAGCTCTCATTCACTCATCCATTAGAAAAGCAAAACTTTTTTTTTAATTTCACACAACTGAAAACACAAGGTTCTAAAAAAACCTAGAAAATACAATCATTTCATTATGTCCACTTTTAAAAGTTGCCTCTGTGTATGTAGAATTAGAATGAACTCCTAAGAGCGAAAAGCAAACTGATATCCTAGTAGTGTGAAAACGGTACCTCCCTAATTATGTCTTGAAGAAGAATTTAGCCACATGACTGGAAGTCAAGGTGACACAGTCCTTTATCACACACAGAGATTCACTTTTGAGTTTCAGTAGAATAGTTTCCTATTAGGAGTCAATTTAACCTAAATTCCTTTTTCCAACTTTATCCTTTGCTAACTGGAAACACACAAGAGTAAATATAGCCTCTACGTCTAATGCAATATTCTGAAAGGATTAACTAAAATCTGTCTGAGCAAACATAATATCATTATACATTTTCTCAAGAAGACTGAAGGATTATTAAGTGCTCTTGGATTTTCTGACTGGAGAAGCAAGCTACTTCAGGACATGTCCCAGCCTACATTAGTGGGATTTTTATACATTTGCCTCATCAACTGGATTATCAGAAAGGGTAAATTCATTTAGAGGAACAGCTCTTCTTAAAATACTGCAACAGAAAAAACAACAAAAGCTAAAGAAAATTTTATTTATAACACTTAGAGGTTGTTTTATATATACAAACAATTGGCCCTGGCAGACCACTTTAAAAAAAAAAAGATTATTTTAATTACAGTTCAGAGTCAGAGCAGCACAGACAAGAGGCAGCTTCAGATGTTGACAGCAGTGCAGGTGGGAGGACTATAAATAGATGAAAGATAGCCAAAAAATACATGCCTCTCCCAGAAGTCATGCACAAGGAACGCACAACTCCAGACTGGAGCAGTTTTGTGGCCTCAGGCCTGGCCACTAATAACACAGCTGCTAAATATACTGAATTTCTAGGGAGCCATGTAGTCAGAAAGTATGATATAAGCAGGCTTTATGATTTACTGCAATAATCTTTTTTCAGGCTCCCAGTTTGTTCACTTTTCCATCTCTGCCCCTCACACCCTGAGATTTAAACCCCAGGTAACACCTACCAATCCTTTGTTTCTTCACCGGCTACCTACTAGAAGGAACTACATCATGTCCTGCGCAGCAGAGGCCAACACTGATCATGCAACCAATGCATCTGCAATGGGGGAGTATATTCTGCTTCTGTTTACAATTGAAGTGCACTAACCCCAGCCTTCTAGCATGGTGCTTCAACCGTATGCAAGTATGCCCCTTGCAATGATTTTATGTCCTCACTATCATTATTATGAAAGGGACTCTGTGGCAGCATATACGAATTGCATAGATTCTCTGTGGATGCTTCTGGTTATCCTTGATAGCCTACAGTTTTAGAAGCGGCAGAACTATCTGGTTCAACACAGAATATACTCTTTAGGCTTCTTCAGCATTGTGTTTGTTAATGAGTTCTTCAGCTTAGCTTTTCTGCAAGCTTGGTTAGGGTTTTGTTCTTTGCACTTTTACAGCAGTTGCTAGAATGAAAAGTAAAACAATTAAAAAAGGACCTGTTCGCTCTTCAAGTATTTTGTCATATGCTTATTCTCAGCTTTTTTCAATACATCTAAAATTTATGACTGCTAGGTAACTCTCTCCTGATATGAGGGACAATTTTAGTGACCCATAACATTTAGAATTTAATTCATTTATTTCTGTTACCATTAATTCCTAGTGTGACCATCACTGCTCACTGCAATTTAACACATACTGCACACTTTAATATAGCTGAAGCAATGGGCTCTAGATGCTTTGAACAAATGACTATACTGAACGGTCTGTTCAAGTGACTGACTTTTCCTATTTTTCTTAGTCACACAGGGTACCACATGTGAAAAGACTGTCTGAAGGCTGTCCTTGGGCTCATGAAGCTTACAGGACGCAGCATTAAAGTTGATGATGTTTAGAACTTGTTGGCTTCTTTTCAAACACACTGCCTAGCTACGAAAGCTGAAGCGTAAACATTTTTTGTTAAGCAATTTTTCACTTTTTAAAAACAAAAGCATTGCTCTGTGCACGTTTACAAAATCAAGTGAAAGATTCATTGGGGCCGCAGGCGAAAAACTGCTTTCTTCATGTGGTTTGAAGAAGTCAAATCAGGATCAGAGCAGTTTATTGATTTATTAACTGGAATCAGTGAACTACACATTCAGGATCAATGCTGGCAGTAAAACAGACAAACCACCATACATACACCACCGGTACAGATGGTAAACACCCATCTATAACTAATTCCAAGAAGCTGTAGTCACACACAGAGCCCTGTGCACATAACTCCTCCCAGGAAATGGGAGGTACAAGCTCGCAGCCCCTCTTCCGGGAGTTTTATACCTACCACTTGCATAGCAAATGTAGGTGCTCTAGCAGCTTTCTGCCTACCCACGCCACTCTCCATACGCTCATTTACATCCCTGCAACCCCACAAGGAGGTGCAGGTGCTGCTTGTTGTGTGCACGCACACATTCTTGTGTGTGTGTACCCTGTATTAAATGTAGTGGTTTTAAAGACAAGTGAATGCATATACCAAAAAAGTTTTAGAGTCAGCCTCAATCAATCTTTTTTTTTTCTTCCTTTAAACCCTCTTTCATATAGGCTACATTAAAAAGGAGCGCATTTTAAGTCATTTGCGCAAAGCATTTCATATTAAATTATATCATTGCAGGGAAAACATGTTCCATCTATATAAAAATTTCCAGGACAGTCTAAATTGAATAACAATGAAGTGTTTATCTGACTTCCTACACTGGACTGCTTTTGGTGCCAATATCCTTGAAAACAAGAAATATATTGCTGACTTTCCTGCAAACAGTTCTTCTCCAATTCTTAGGAAATCTGCAGTTTTACTTTCTAGCACACTAACCATCCTCACTACCACGTTCTCAGACTTTGGTCTTCCAATAAAAAACATAACCTAACACCACAGTGTTTGCCTGTACTATACCTTTTCAGGGTCCAAAAATGTATATTCTTTCATTTCTGTTAAAAAAGACATGGTTATGTAAACTAACAAGTTAATATAGAACCAACATAGCTTTGATTGATCTTATTGCCTGGAAATCTAACCGCCTCACAAGTGTCCTCCTTTAATCCTGCATAGGTAATATGGTCTTAAAAGATGACTGCCAGGGGTGGTCTGTGATGACTCTGATCTGTGTACTACAGCTACATATATATACACACAGATGTTATACGCTGTATAATACTGTACTATATTAATGCATGTAAGTAGTATGGTAGTGGGTAGTAGGAGATAGACTTTTTAACCTACTCATCAACAGAAGCTGTCTGTACTATTGTGAGGACAAGGGCTATCGGAATTCATACCGGAGTAACAAGATTCACAAAAAGGAATGCAGCCAAGAACAAGCTGGCTTTACTCATTTATAGTATCAGCCATCCTACGCGTGTTACTGGAGAAACCATACAAGTCTGAGAGATGACGGAGACTCCACGGAAGCTGACTATCCCACGCGGTATCCTTCCAGCACCAGCTGGGTTTGTTGCCTGACAACTTCCTCGTGCTCCTGAGGCAGGCCCCAGGTACTGAAGCATAACCTGACCTTGCCTTTTTATTTTGAAAAGGCTGGCTACTGAAAGCCATGCCTCGCATAAAAACTAGACCAGCCTGCTTTTGCCTGCCCTTCCAGGTACATTCACACTATCTGTGTTTTGTTCTGTTGTTCCAGAAAGTCTTTCTGTTTTTGCTGGGAGTTTGTTTTGTTTTGTTTTTTACTTTTACTTTGACTCTCCATCTCCCATGCTAGGAGGAGTCTGACATTTCCCACATGTCCAGAGTTGACCTGTCTGAGAGCACAAACAGGAAGAAATTGCTATAGAGCAACTCAATCCCAGTAAAAGAAATGGCAAATTTCTTAGATTCCCATCCACCTCTGCCACACCTTAAACGATGTTTTGCTTTGAAGTTAAGAATGAGTAGTTAGTAGCATGAATGCCTGTTCAAATGGGTGGTCTTTACTAAGACTAACCTGTTTGCTTTGTACTGTTTCCATTTGACATTAAGATACCAGCATGAAAAGATTGTCTATGGCTTCCCTATCAGATTTTCTATATATTTTCATTACTGTAGTGGACTTTGGAGCCACCCTAGACTACAGATCACCCCCAAGATCAGATCAGACAATCGCTCTCAGACTTCTGTCCAAGAACAGTTTGAAGATGTAGAAGGTGTTTGAAGATGTTATAATTCCCAGGAAGAAAGATAACACAAAAAGTAGCCCTAAGGTCTGAATTCTGAAAGCCATCCTAAAGCTTTAGCATGATCCATTTCCTAGCCTTGATCTTCTATATTGCTAGGGTACAGAAGTCTGCAATAATCAATTACTGGTAATAAATCACTTCACCAGTGACTGAAAGTACCCAGCCTATGTTCAAATATAGGCAAGTCAGAAATTACTAAAATTATTAGATATTTAGCAAACTACAAAGAAATCAATTCATAGTCTCTGACAAATTCACATCACGGTTAACTTCTCTAACACTTGCTTTGAACCAAATAATACTGAGAATCTTTCAATTAACTTTCAAAAGCTTTGGATCAGATCCTCATGTGGCACAAAAGCTGTAGACTGAATTAGGGTTTTTTCTTGACCTTTTTCATCATCCCAGTAGAATGAGATTTTTAACACAGCAATAGTTTGGCTGTGTGGGGCAATTTTACAGTGGTATTTAAGTTATATCTGAGGATTTGACATTCTAGAAGTTATTTTATTAGTTTAAATTTACTATTATGTTCTGAAAAACCTTTGAAATAAAGCAGAACCAAAGTGTCTACAAAAACATGTAAAATCTGAGTTTATACTATACCGAATAAAGTCAAAATACTATAAAGATAAATGACATTTTTTGGTCAATTCTGGACACAATGTAAGTCAAACACATTGATGAAACAAAAGAACTATAAATAAACTATGCAAAGCTTCTACAAAATCTAGTTAGTCAGCCTTCAAAGCTATTTTTCTTTTTTTCCATTGTTCTACAAACTTTCAGTGCCTATCTGGGACAGTAAGGTTTCTGGGCTACTAAATATGACTTTATGGCAGTCTATAAAGACTGTGATCTTCTATTGCTTAATTTTCTTTCATAGAAATTGTAAGTATGTCCTTAGCTAATACCACATGCTAATGTAATAACCTTATGCAGTACCTAGATATCAGAGCACTCTTCAGTCCTGACATTTTAAAGTAAATTATAACAGCTGTTCTACATTAAAGGGACATTTTAATCAAATTTCCCTTTGATAAGCAGGAAAGGTAAACATGACTGAGCCTGCTAATGCACAGTCTAGCCCATTAAGTTTAAAATAGGAGTTGGTGGAAGTCTATGCCTAACTCAACAGTTGATAACGCATTGTGCTTTTGCACTGGCAGATACCTAGAAATAAGACTTTCTTCCCATCTTACTAAAGCAGATTCTTAATCAGGCTTTAACTAGAGCGTTGACTGCTCCAACTACTTTGCTTCTGAAAGAAAGAAGTTCATATGCATTTGTGTTGAGGGCTATTTCTGAAGAGAAACTGGGCAATCATTTGAAATTTATGGAATGTGTTCTTCTAATATCAGTGGCAAAAAGTTCTTGGACAGAGTCAGCTAAACCACTCAAAGTCTTTGACTGGCTGGAAATAACACATTTCAGCTAACCACCTTCTCAGCAGTGTCTGGCCATCAATTCAAAAAGAGTTCTTCCTCAAGAAGTTAAAAAGTATCAAGTACTTCAGCTGATATGAATAGGCTGAATTCTTCTAAGTCACCATTATTAATACTTAATGCCCGTGTATATACAAAAGTGCAGCAGTTGCAAAGTAACTAGAATGAAAAGTAGGTTTCAAATTTTTCCCCAGGTGACTTTTAAAAGAAAATATAATAGCAAGCTGTGTTTGTTATACTGATATGTATTTTCCCCCATTAATGAGGAATAAAAATAGTAATTTCATTAAAACGTAAACACTGTTAGAGAATATTAATTCAACAACATTTTTACTGAGAAATTAGTACCAAGAAGAAAAATCTGCCATAACAGTGAAATCTACATAAAGGAAGACCTCTAAACATCTCTAAATATTATACTAAATTAAAACATCTGTGGCCATGAGCCTGCAATTTCATATATTTGGACAGATTACCGCACTTGTGTGAAATGCAATCAGCTTACTTTTAAAGATTTCACTGCAGTTCACAGATGTTAAAGTAATTGTAATTAGCATCTGATTTATCACGTCTTACACACCAAGTTTGTATTGAAATGGGTGTTTTTAAGAATTCAAGGCCAGGCCTTCCAGCATTGAAATTTCTCTGTTGTCACCGAATATTTAGCAATGGTTCAACTAAAATGATTGAACATCTGGTGAGACTAAAATATATTTGTTCAAGAAGGCTAAGAAAAAAAACGCCTCTAGAGAGGTGAAGAAAAAAAAATAGAGCTGATTGCAGGTTTGTTAACCTGAAGCAGTCATTTGACTGCTTATCACTGTTTCATCAGCGCATCTTTATGTGCTGAATCAAAGCAGACTCTAGATTACTGCTTTAATCAGCATCATAAAACATCATGTTTCTCCTTGCTTCCTAACAGCTGGTTTAAGAGGAATAAAAGGCTTATTTGATGGGTAAGTTGGAAGATCTCCAAGGGCCTTCTAAGCTGCTACTTTTGTATATTTGGACTTTCAAAGCAAGCTAGGAGTTTTAACAAAGACTGCTAGCTTATGGTTTTCTGGGAGCATCAACTTTTCTACAAAAAATTAATCTCAAGATAAATTTGCCACTTCTGGCACAAGAATCTGCTCGCCTGTCCTTTAACATAATAATTATATTTTTGCTTTGCCAAATGACGGGGAGGAGGGCACTTCCCTTTACCTAATAAAAAAATAGAATATTTTCAAAGCAGATATATGGGTATACAGTTAGCCCATAACTTACAGTTACATCAACTAAAATTTAATTTCTTAAAACAGAAGTAATATTTCACTGCCTACAAATGCACTGTTAAATTATGAGGTTTCACAATTATACTTCCATATTAAAACGTTTTTTTAAAATAGCACAACCTCCCATTCTTCTTTCACATTACTGCGGAGGAGACCCATACAGAGTACACTGACTAAGCCTATATGAAAGGAAGTCTCTCAGGCCATAAGTGAGAGACAAAAGTCACTTGTAAGGCACTAATCGCAGTATGGGACCCAGCTGAGAAGAAATTTTATACCATACAGAAAAGATTTTTTGAAGCCCTTTATGTCGATCTATTGCTACTCCTACTGATACCAGTGTTAAGCCAAGTTGAGCACTTTTAAAAATCCCAAAGTACAGAACAAAAACATGCACAAAGAAAGTAGCATTAAGAAAAATAAGTTTTCTCTCATATTTCTTTATGGTATACCTAGAATGACCTCAAATTAATAAAACATGTGCTCTATATATTTTTACTAAACAGAAAAGGCATCGGGGCATTAGAATCCTACCTACCATGGCAATTTGGTGGCGATGACAGTTCCTAGAAAACGGAGTCTCTCCCCTCGTGTCACGTTCCTTTTATGCCATTCAAATTTCCCTGTGAGATACATGTTTAATATTGCCGCGTACTCCTACTCACCAATAAATGCCAAACTCACCTTGACCCACTTGGAAAAAACTGTTGTCTGTCACTCAGGGGCAAAGAAGCCATCAAAATGTTACAGTAGTACCTCCCGACTGCAGCACCTTCTGTCAGTTTTGTCAAAGTCTCTGTTGCAGAAAACTGTCCTTGGAATTCAGAAATGAGATGTGGAAAAGGCAGCACGGATTTGAACACCAATGAATAATTCCCATTTATATTTTGCCTTGCGTGGACTGAGAAGAAAAAAATGAAAATGTATAAGGGATATGAAAATTAATCATTATTTCATATTGTGTGCCCACATACTAAGGAACGGAAAAGTCAACAAATGTAAGAACTCTAAGTGCTACTGTTGACAGAATTTTCTTTTCCTTTTGACCAAGACGTCAAGAAATCAGTTAAAAATATGTAACGGACGTAGAAAAAACAAATTCTTATTTGAAAGTTCTTTTTGTCATCCGTGTATCCTGTGACTCAAGCAAGAGCTGTAAAACAGTTCTAAAAGTCATGTTTATAGTCGGGGTAAGACTCCCCTCTAGTGAACGCTCTGCAGAGAGTCACAGTTTTGCTTCCTGATGCCTTACTTCAAAGATCCAGTTCCTCTCTGGTGATGAGCCTTGCCCTTTTACTGCCAGAGTCCATTCTTCTCTCAGAGAAAGTGAATTATCATTACTCTGCACAGTATCTTCACGTTAATTTGTGAACAAATACAACTGACAAACAAAAAAAACAGTCTTCTGGTTATTTCAGCTTAAGTTACATAGTCAATCACAGATGAGGCAGAAAAGGTAAAGTAAAACCCACATAACTTCAATATTTAAAATGTACAATTTGCGAAACAGTCATTTTAGTATACTGAAAAGGCCATTTTCCTTACAGTAAGGAAATAACTTTCAAGTGGAAGCACAACTTGTAGGGGTACATTAGCCTCAGGCATGTGTGTCATGCAATACTGTAAAGGTTTTGTTATTGTGTTGCAGGTGTTAAGTAGACTGCCGTAATTAAATCAAATTAAAATAGACTTCCAGAAAATCCTGAATTATGCCTGGAAACTCTCCAGCCCCACCAGGATTAGGGGAACACAAAGCCTTTTTTTTTTTTTTAAAAACAGATTATCATTATTCCACCCTACCTATTAAAGGTACTGTACAGCAGCTGCAGCAATGTTTCCTAAGATTTTGAAGACATGCTTTATTTGAAAAATAAGTATAAAACACATCCTGTCAAGTAATCCCGTCCTTACTCATCAGAACATTTCAGCATAGATGTAATTATTTGCGTCAGGAGGTTTTAAGGTCACTCTTACAGGTTTTGCTAGCTCATTATGGCCAAGCAGACCAAGGACTTCAACTCTACACACACATGCATATCCAAGATCAAGGCATGATCTGACAAGGAGAGCACCCACAGGTGTTTGTCTTTGTTTTCTTTGCTCCCTCCAACCCATTTTTGTCTTAACCTAAAAGTCCACATACAGATTACTTATGCTACAGTTCCACAGCACCACTCGGCCAGCTAAAGTTCATTCATAGAGCCAATTCAGTGTGGCTGCATTAACTAAAGTTGCATTTCTAGGTACAGCAGGGGATATATGCATATGTTGAAAAACCACCACATGAAAGCTTTTTTTTGCTTTAAAGAGAAAGAACAGCAAACTGAAGACAAATCATCCTCCCAGAGCCTGGACTTTTGCTAGGCAGGCAGAAAAACTGAGGCATCCGCTACAAAGGAATGCTATAACAAGACTTGGAGAAAAGGAAAACTCTTTTGAACACTAAACTGAAGAGGCTTCAGTCAGACTTCAGGATAAGCAGTAATCTTCCTTCAGGACCGTGAACACAGAGAAATGAAGAAAGCAATTTGCCCTCATCTTATGCCTCTACACCTTGCAAGCAGGTTCTATCCAATACGATATATAAACCCTGAGTCAAAAGACTGACAGAAGCAATAGTCCTATTTTCATACACACAGCTCCAAAGCAAAAACAACAACAACAAAAAACAGCTTACAAAAATGAGCAGAAACAGTATTGCATGTGCAGGAATTACCCACTTCCTTCCATACAGCACCTCCTCTTTAAGTTCCAAGGGAAAGTTTTTCTCCCCCAACCTCCAGCACTAAATATTCCCATCTAGTCCACACGTAGCCATTAGGACAGCTAGCCTTGGTCCTCCTTAACTACCCAGAGCAGAGCCCAAGCTAGCTCTTCATTTCAAAGATGAAAAAATCACAACCAAATGGAACAGGAGAAAGAGACTGCAGACAGATAGAAACAAAGGACAAAAAAATAGCATATAGGAACATTTTACACCCAATTAGACAGCAGGAACTCTTGCCACAAAGACCAAGATGGAAATAACCCCCCCCCCCAAAAAAAAAAAAAAAGTTATCTTCCCCACCACCTCCAACTGTTTGGGGAAATCCAGACGCCTAAATACAACTTCTTTTGTTGACAGTATTCGAAGAACAGATGGTTAGTTAACAGCTCTACTGTTTGCTGGCTGTGTGACAACTACTACTGTATCACCAAAACCAGCCAGGGTAGGATCTCTCCGTTACTATAATACTTTCTCTTTTATTTAGTATTCTGTTACAATAAGGTAATGCTTTGAAGGAGGCAAGTATGACTAATTTGGGGGAACATCAGCATTTTTGATTTAATAAACTACATACAAGCAAATACTGCTGTATAGAACTGTTTATTCTACTGTTACCAACATGAACCATGTTAAGCTGGCTTTGCATTGCATCAGGCCAAATATACAAGAAAAAAGGATTTTTAAAAATCAAAACGATCCAAAACCTGCCAAACAAAAGAAAATACCCAAATTCTTTCAAGACGACAAAGTACAGCCTATGTTTTCTCTCATTTTATATCTCATTTCTATTACTGCATTAACAAATTTCAATTTTCATTTCAAAATAAGCGTCATAAAACAGTCCATACCTATACATATATATACCAGCAGTATGTATCTATAAATACATATCTCTAATATACCATTATTATATACCTATATTTATTTATGCCCTGAAAAAATGCAAGAAGCTGTATCTTCTTTCAGCAGTGACTTATATATGCCAAGAAGAGTGATAAGACAGCAACAGAGGTTATGCTGGGAATTGTTCGAGTTTACTGCTGGGAACTAGAAACATATTAAATGCTATTCTCCCTGTTATATGAACCAACAGTTTCTATTCACTGGCAACACAACAGAAAAACTTCTTGGTTTGATGGATAGCTAGGTGAGTTTTCTAAACATTTTTTAGATTATAGTGAGGGTTTTTTTTGCTTTGTTTTTAATATTAGAGTGCACTCAGGAAACAAACTGGCCCAGAGCTAACAAGATTCAGTTATTACTTTACTACCTAAGAAATTATTGAAATTTCAAAACCTAGAGACCTATGGCTTGTATTCTGCCTGATGTATAAAAATCTGGCAAACATATGACCGTTTAGAAACAGATTTATTACATTTTGATTCCTCCTGCTATATCTTTTAATATTTCCATCTGCAAGTACCCACAGTCTATTAAGTAGAAACAGGAAGACAAGCTATTTATGTGGGGACAGAAAGGATAAGAAAAAATGTGTTCCACAAAGCTATTTTCTGCAATATATTCTCTACTTCAGCACAGAAGAAAGAAAACACACCAGCGTGAACTAGTGCTGCTACAGGCTAGAGCAATAACTATTCTCAAGGGGAGAACTTTGTACCAAACCCTGCAAAGACAGCTTCAAGTGAAAAGCATTCACATGCAGACTGGGATTTGGAAAGCCCAAGACATTTAGCATGAAACAGCTATTTAGGTAGTACACAGACAGGTCTTCAGTTACCTCTGAGGGTCCACACATGGCTTTGCTCTGGATGGAAGAGCAGAGAAGGTACCGATTCTTCCGCTGCTTGCGGCTCCCACCCAACTTACATATGTCCCCTCCTTTTCAGCACGACTTCAAACATCCTGTGGAGCGTTCTTGATTCATGCCAGCCATTCAGCAGTGGGTGCGCTTGGTTCTAATACATATGATCTCCTGTTTACTTCCCAGAAATGTTTCCAGGAGATTAAGACTGAAAATTCCATCAGAAGCTAAGAAACATTTGCATCTGTGCTGCTTTAATTCTACTCCTTTCTTGTACACAATATGACACAATTATTCATTAAATGACTGGATTTTTTGTCTTGGCTCTGCGAGTGCACACCATAGATGATTTCCATACACTAAGAAGCTACTATCAGTCCAGTTCATCATGTCCACATCCACACCCTGCACTGAATTAAAAAAAAATTACTTCCCTCATTTTTCTCCCGGTGCTATCATTAGTATGCTTTACAAACATGTACCTGCCTCCAGTGCATTAGCATGCTATAAGCTACGGCATCTGAGACAGAAAATTTCCATGAAATATACCTACGATTTGACAGCCAGAGTATGCCAACCATGGGAAGGAACAGAGTAAGCCAATAGATTCAGTCTTGCCTTTCTTGAGACAGCCAAAGGTTTAAAATCTAATGTTCAGGGCAATTAATTTTCAGAAGAGTAACTCTCTGCATGATTTCTAAGAATCATACTATATCAGTCAAATAAAATGTTTTCCATTTGAAGGCAGAAGTCAGAGCTGATCATAATTATGATATGACGACATAACAGCCAGCTGTTACTTTGTCTAATTTTTAGATCATAATGATAAATCTGATAAAATACCAAAACCAAACATTTACACTTTTTTTTTTTTAAATAAGTCTAATAGTCCAATATAGTGGTTCACTGTTGGGAAAGAGGCCTAATACTTTATATAGGAAATTGCTCTTCATTGTTAACTGTTCTGCGTTGTATCTAAAGTAAATCATTCTTTGAGGAGGGAGAAGAGACTGAAATGACATTGTTAAAAAAAAGCTTAAAAAAATCAACATATAAAAACAAAGAAAAGGCAGTGTATTCAATTACATAAAATTAGTAAATGTGTTCCCATAAATATGGGGAAAATGAACATGTGATTAAGCTAATAGGATTATGCAAAAGAAGCTTCTAATAATAGGCCTGTAATTAATCTTTTTTAGTCTTGGGGCTTGCTTATAATCATTTTTCATGTGCATAATTCAATTCAGGCAAAAACTAATTCTATTCAAAGGACACTTCTTACAACAACCCTCCAATTTATGAAGACGACTGTTCCTAATCTAGTTATGGTTAGGCAGATGCTACAAAGTCCACTCCTGCTCCACGCTTACTT